TCCTCTATCCTTGTGAAAGCTTCCCCTAGAGAGCAGGCATGTTTGGAGCTCTCTTTCATTGGTGCACAGCTGGGGATGGCCACTGCCTGCTACATCCTATTAGGCTACAGCCTACACTGCAGCATAGTTAAAAATAACACAAGCCTTAGATTTGTAAGTCAAAACAAGGGAAAACATGATTCGGAGAAAACTCCAGGAACAAACTTGCCAACAAAGTTTTCAAGCTGACAAGCAGGTATTCTTTATTGCGGCGCCGGGAGACACGGGGGATAGCTCCTCCTAACGTGTTCTAATCCAAAATCAGTGCCTCGACTGTTTTCCACCAAAGTTATTATTTTGCAGACCAGCAGCAATCAAATTTGAAGCTTTCAGTCTTTTCATATTAAATACTGTAGTAAAGACAGATTCCATCAGTATGCTGCTTTGCAACTAGTGCGTGCCTTGTGTGGTGCTGTGGAGCCAGTCCTGAAGTAAATGGGCTTATTCTCTGTCAGCTCTTACATGATTCTGGTATTTAATTCATTTCATTTACTTCAAGAAAACATTGATCTATCAATGTCACAAGCTGTCCTTAGATAGCCACTGGGCATACATACATATTCATGAGGCTACGTATGGATTACATGATTTTTCAGAAGGTTCCCCGCATGCGTACAAAAATGTGGTGATGGTCTCTGAGGGTCGTTTACTTCTTCCAACAATCTTCATCACTTCTGGCTGCCTTTGAAACAGTAGATGCTCATACCAGTTTATAATTGGTTCATTAGCACAAGAGACATAATAATTCTCCTATCCTCCTAGTTACCAGTTAGTTTAACTGTAACCCATCCTGGACACCTGCCGTTCCCAGTTACTCCTTATCCCTGTGTCCTGTTCTTCTACACTGTTTTTCTTAAAGCTATGTCAACTATAATGATTTATCTTATACAAGAATTCTTATTATGTTCTCTAGCTGTACTCTATTTTTTTCTATGTATCATGCACCTCAGTAATTTTCCATTGCCACTGTTGCAAAGCCATCAAACTTAACATTACTTAAAACTAATTCTAAAGGTTTATATATTCCATTTTGTGATTTTGTGCTCCCCTTGTCTCAAGCAGCATTGCTTTTCCACCATTTTAGGCCTGCCCCACATTTTTGTTCGCGCCTAGCATCTCGGTTGGTAACTGTCTCACGCCTCTTGCTCAGAAGGAGAAAGGCATGTGCCACTCACTCTTCTGCTGGAGCACAAAGTTCTGTTGCACTCACATATCGCATTTCCTTTGTAGCCACTGTAGTAATAGCCTTTCTGACACATGTACAGCACTCAGAAGTTTTCCACGGACTTCAGGGGTGGACTTTTCCCCCAGTGCCAGAGTGTCTGAGAGATGCTCTCACAGTTCCAGTAGCAGCCAAGCAAGGGCCCTTCCAGCAGGGCCCCTCTGGAAGGCACCTTCTGAGGCTGCCCTTCAGAGCCCAGATAGCAGGAGAAACACCAGCTCCCCAGGTGTCTCCACACTTTCTGAAGTATTAGCCAGATACCAAGTAACTGAAATAAAAGAAAATCAATTGTGTCCTTGCCTGCCACTTTCACAGTTTGATTGATCCTTTCTCCCCAAACTTGCACCATACTCGCACTGGAAATTAAGAAATAATTGCCAACACATTGAGCAGTTAAACACTGCTCTGTCCTTTAAGGTCCCAGGACAAACGTTTTAATTATTCACTGCCATTTTATGGATAAACTCTTAATGTGCCATCATTAGCTAACAATTTTCAAAGGAAACACATTAATGAGGTCTAAGAAAATGTGGGAGTTTTTACCTTAATTACCTGGTTCATAGATCAGAGTAATTAGATTCCAACAGACTTTAGGTATAATGTAAAAGTAATTACCACAGCTGCCAGCTGTTAAAATATTAAGTTAGTTGTGTTCCAGAAAAGTTTGGAAAAAAATTGTTAGCTTTTCTGTGACTAACTTCACCTAAGGTGCATTTTGAGAAAACAAAAAGAGCCATCAATACAAATAGGAAAAAAAAACAATTTATAAGCTGCTGCACTCAAAGGGATATTTGTAAAACGCATTCTTAAAAAGCAAATATTTCTTTACCTGAATTTATGATGACATTAGGCAATACTTCAGTCTTTTGAAAAAAGCTATCTTTCTTATTGAAACACAGAACACTTGTGTATTTGAGACACTTTGTCCTAACCTAGCATGCCAACCAGGTAAAGGCTTTAGAAATCAGCCAGCAATTGCACTTTGGAGGCTGAGGCATGTATAGAAGTTTAGACAAAACAGAGGTGGTGGATTATTACAAGTAGAACAAACCCAGGTATACTGAAACAGAATAGATGAATCCTATGAAGGAAACGTGGGTATCAGAAAAAAAGCAGCAGAGAGAAAAATATCAACAGAAGGCCGACTGGGGCAAGAGCAGCAGCAGCAAGGCAAAGGCAGTCAAATCCCTCCAGCAGCTGGCAGTCTGCACTTACAGCAGCGCAGTTTAGCAGTTCCAGAGACAGCTGTAAATGGCTGTCCTAGAAAATACAAAAAACCAAGACGAGACAGAAACAGCTCATTAAAGACGTGTAGTACTGCAAAGCACAAGAATACTCCCAGCACACAGGTGCATCAAAATGAGGAGGAAAGAAAATAACAATAGGAAAAAACAACCCCAAAACAGGAAACAATAAACCCACCTGTCACTAATACATAATGTAGAGGCAAGAAAATGGTTTCTCTTTGGAGACTATCAGTTCCCATGTGGTGTCAAGTTGTTGAAAGTTAACATGGCACAGGCACATCAAAGTGAAAAAAGTTAGGAAAAGACCTGTACAGTCTTAGGAGAGGTGGGAATAGTGGCATATGCATTAGGTGAAGAGATAGCAAGAATAAATAGTGGCCTCTTATTGGGCAGAGTGTGATAGATAAGCATTTGTTTGACATGTATTTAAACAAAAGAGCTTTTGGCATTTAAAGAAGAATGCAGGAAGAAGATTCTTCTTAGCTTCCCAGGCACAAAAGCTAGATATATAAAAAATATGCATGTTGATCATCCAAACAGAAAATGCCACCTCACTAAGGGCTTAGGCACACATGGAGTGCTGCGGAAGCAGCTGCTCCTGAGCAGGCCTTCAGTGAGAACACAGTGGAAATACTTCTTAGCATTAAAAGAGATAAGCCTTTAAGCTAACAAGCCTGTGCAAAAGCTTATGCCAATCTTTTGCAAAGCAAATATCTCATTATTTAAATACACTTGTAGTCTCTTCAGGCATAGCATTCGTGGTCTGTGTTTAGCTGAAAATGGCTTTCCCCTCTCGAATTCAGTCTTCTTGAGCCTTAATGTCTGGGCATGATAACCAGATTCCTCAAGGATTGTGATGACATTATAGCTTTGTCAAACATGTATTAGCAAACAGTACAAAATCATTTTGGTCATCTGTATGGCATCAGAGAATCACAATACTTAGTAAGTCTTAACCATCAACCTTTTACTAGGATGTTACTTCGTGCCTCCTTCCTCCCCTCTGCTTTCTGCAGCAAGACTGGATGTTCTTTCCTCACAGCACAGCACCATGATCTCTCTTTCATGCCAAGAACCTAATGCAAATGCTACTGCTTCTCTGTGCCATGTAAACTTAACGGCCAGGCTAGTTCTCATTTCCATGACAGGATAGGATGTTGGCACACATGCCTAAGGAAAAGATATCAGAGACACCTCTGCTACTAATATATTTACAAGGTTCATAAAATCGGCCACCTTTACGCAGATGAATTATACTAATTGAACTCAAGGAGGCTGAATGTACAAGACACGACTGTTGCACATGACAACAGGATTGTTGCACATGACTTCTTATGTGACAGGATCTACTCTATCCATTCAGCTGGGATAGAGTTCATTTTCTTCCTATCAGCTGGTGCAGTCCTGTGTTTTGGCTTTAGTCTGAGAACAATGCTGGTAACGCACCAGTGTTTTGGTTGTTGCTAAGTAGCACTTACCCTGGTCAAAGACTTTTCAATCTCTCATGCTCTGCCAGTGAGGAGGGGCAGAGAGAGAAGAGAAGCCAGGAGGAAGCAGAAGCAGGACACCTGGTCCAAACCAGCCATAGGGGTATTCCAAACTAGAGCGTTTCGTGCCAAGTATATAAACAGGGGATTTACCTAAAAGGGATTGGATCACTGCTCAGGTCAGGCTGGGCATCGGTCAGCAGGTGGTGAGCAATTGTATTGTGCATCTCGTGAGGTTTTTTGGGGGGAAGGGTTTATTCCTTCCTCTCATTCTATTTCCTATTATTATTGTTGTTGATATTGAATTATTACATTCTACTTTTATTTCAATTATTAAATTGTTCTTAGCTCATGGACTTTTACCTTTCTTCTGATTCTCCTCTCCATCCCACTGCACGGGGCAGAGGACTGAGCAAGTGGCTGCATAGTTGGACTTAAACCACAACAGCAAAGAAGAGAGATTGCCTTTCTGAAGCATTTTAAAGGGAAGAAATTACAAAAACATATTATAAATCTTGGTTTTGTTCACAGACTGGATCCCATAGACTTTGATAGAATGTCTGAAAGAATCTTAAGATCTGTTGGGAAAGTAACTGTTGGAAACTAACTGTATCCCATACTATTCACACCCATCCTAACACCTAGATTAACTAATGAGCACCTTGTTGTTTCTAGGCTCTCTCAGAATCCCCTTGCATTTCAGATGCTTTGAGTTCTCACTGTCCTTTGTTGGACTCACTCCAGTATGTCCACATTTGTACTGGGGGTCCCAGAACTGGGTACAGTAGTGCAGACATGGCCTTTTCAGTACTGAGCAGAGGGAAGGAGTCATATCCCTCAAGCCAATGGCACTGTTCTGCCAGTGCAGCCCAGAAGGCTTTCCTCTCCTTTCTAGCTGCAGAAGTCAGGCTTCTGGCACTTTAGTGAAGGAAAATTGTGGTAGGAACCTATCATATTTTTCAGCCATCCAGCAAAGTACAACATAACATTCAGTAGACAAAAAAGTCAGTAAAATATACAACAAATTTGTTTTATTCAAATACCAGACTGCATTTGCTGGCTTAACAAACAGGGCTGTTTTCAGCTGCTATAAAGAGAAATACAGATTTTAGTGAAAAAAGCTCAAATGCATTTCAAATAGCCACAAGTGATGTGTCAGCTACAAGTTTTGTACACACCTGCAAGCCTCCATATTAACTACTGATATGCAAAACACTGTATGCTACATATGCATGGAATCAAAGCACTCCGTGTGATATTTATAATACTTAACTTGTAACTGATTTTAATGAGGATGAACATTTATCTTGAATAAATTAATTTGAGACAATATTGAGAAATTCTAAATTAATTAGTGAAAATTATTCAGTAGAATTTTAATAGGCAAATCTGAAGATACTGTACTGTCTGCTTGAAATGACTTTAAAGTATTTTAAGGCATTTTTGTGAGCATTTGCTTTTTAACTCCTCAGTAGGACTAAAAATGTGGTGTGTCTAGGCTTTCTAAATACTTTCCCTCCTCTGTCTGAGGTTTCTGGGTATGCTAGTCTGATCAAGCTGCTGTTGAGTCTGGAAACTTTTGGCACATCAGCTGTGTATTTACACATCTGTTCTCAATAGTTTCCTCTGAGTCAAAGTATTGCCAGAGGGATATGTACTTGCCCTAGATCTAACAATTCTAGAAACACAGCACTCACTATGCATGTGCTGCCCAGATCTTGTTTTTATATGCTGCAAATGATGGGTATCAGACTGGCTCTGCCAGAATATGAGGCCTAAGTCGTGTGCCATACAAAGATGTTGAGCATACTCTACCTGTGCAGCTCATGAGGCTGCACATAGTGACCCCAGATAGGAATACAGCAGCTCTAATATTAGCACAAATACTACTCTTTCAGCTCCAGATTCTGTCCTTCCTTCCTAGCTGCATTTTCAGCAAATTACTGTACATACCAGCAAAACAAACGGATCTAGTGTGATTCTAGATAATTTAAGCTGTGCAAGGGTTTATGGAGATGGCATTTGTAGCCCTTCTGAGTAAAACACTTCCCCCCGGTAGGAGTGGCTTTGCTTTACAGAGTGAATTACTTGTTGGGTAACAGTACTACCTGTGCAGTAAAGCATTGCTCATTATCTGAAAGAGTGGCAGAATTTGTCTGTTTCCAATTCTGAGCCTTAAACTGAAGCATATGAGACTTGCCAAAGAAATAGACATTCACCTTAGACAACCTTCATTCCCCTTTCTACTGTTCCCTTCTCCAAAAAACAAAGGAAACAAGCAAGTAGCTGTTTCAGTAAGGGGTGTTCATTTTGCATATGCCCTGCGGTTGTTCAGAAAATCCACTGGAATTTCAGGTACAATAAGAACGAAAGATTGGACTTGGCATCATTATCTGAATTCATGAATAAATATGTACAGAGGAACTTTGTCCCTTCAAAAGGTCACAAGACATTATCTGGTTTGACTTCTTATTTAGGACAAGTAGGCAGTTTAGTTTCTCAGGGGATATTATAGTTAAATTACAGCCTTGTATGCTCTTCATGAGACAAGAAGGACACTTTCATGAGCAGCTTTTTCTTACAGTTGAGGACGATCTTAATGTGTGAAGGACACAGCTTCCTATTTGTTTCCAGTTAATTTCAGAATTATTTTACTTCAGATGTCTCTGAAAACAAAACAAAATGACAGGGTGAAACAGGAATTTTTTACATTTCAATTTAAAAATCACACAGAGAATGCAGGTGAACAAGCTCTTGAGTCAACTGGCAGCTAGTTAGGGGTTGTCTGTGCTGTAAAATGTTTTGTCAGTACAATTATACCAGCATCCCCAAGACTACAGCAAAAATAAAGCTAATGTACGACTTCATCACAGCTTTGCCAGAAACTTTGTCTAAGCGTGTGAAATTCATACCAGTAAATTTCTCTTTTACTAGTACAGCTTATGCAGTTTAGGGAAATATTTGACCTATACAGGGTGAAAGAGCACATTGAGTCAGTGCAAGCTGTAACTCCAGCAAAAAGTTTTTGTGGTGTTTCTCCAGTGTCACTATGCCCATGATGTTTTAACCTGACCTCTAGGGGAACGGCAAGACCTGTGCACCTAGGAGGAACATCTAGGTAATTATGGTTACCTGGTAGTCTTCCCTGCCCTTAGGGTCTCTGAACCTATAACTGCTTTGAGACAGGCTGCTTGAAGTCGTGCCTATGTCAAAGCTGAGAATTGAATTGCAGCTCCCAGAGGAGCACACTATTTATTTGCTCCCTTTTGGCTCCTCCTTCCCTCTGTAGTCACCATTGATTGCACTCTGCGAAAAAAGCTTCAGTTTGCACTTTGTAAAGTGCAGACACCAAGCAGTAGAAAAATTACCTAACAATGAAAATTAGCAAAGTAGGTGATGCTCCAAATCTGCATTGAAAACTACTTAAGAGGAGGGGGACTTTCAAAAGTGCTGAGAACATACAACTCCAGTCGTGGATTTGGGTTTCCAATATCTCAAAGGCTACAAAGTTTGCCTCAGCCTTTCAGTCAGAGACAAGCAGAGCTATGAAAGAAATAGCCAGCTGAAAGGGTCAGTGGTATGAAAGCTCCAGAGAAATGTCTTGGAAAAACAGTACAAAAGGACTAATGAAGCTGAGGTGGTGTTAGAAAGGTTGGTTTTCATTTGTTATCAAAGCTCTCTCTAGCTTTCAGTTATGCAGGAACCTACATCTAACACAACCAAGATTAAAATAAAAATAAAATGGTCACACCTCAATCTGTTTCATTCAATTACTTAAAAAAAAAATGGTACACATTGAAAATAGAGAAAACTGCTTTGTCCAAACAAAACCAGCTCAACTATTGAGTTCATGACAAGATGAAACACAGCTGCAAAGGTTTTTCATTCCCTTCTGAATTTCTCTCTCTTTTCTACTCTTTTTTCTCCTCTTTAATAAACTATCCAGGCTTAGTAAAGTGAGACTTCCCCTTTTCCAGTATTTGTGTGAAGTTCAAGTCCAGAAAGCAATGCCCTGAAACAGCCTGACACCAGTACTCGTTTTCAGCTCTCCAGGTGGCTGTACCATATTGTTTCTGCCTTTTTTTCATCCATGAGGTTACAAGGAGCTATGAGCTCTGGAGGCAGAAGCTGCCTTCTCCAGTCTTGCTGTTGCTTCTGCTGCATGCCTCCATCTCACTTTTGTTTGCGGGGACATGTGCTGAGACATTATAGCAGCACCAGAGCTATTCCAGTTCATTGCAATGAGCCTTCTCTCACCCATTTTTCGCACACCCAAGAAAAAACATTGTTGACATCTTTAATGCCTTCTAAAAGACTGCAAAACTGAGGGCATTCCTCATAAGAAAAAAAAAATCCCCCCTCCTCAACAACTCTTGGCGATAAAAGGAAATAAACTTCAGTTGTTATAAAGAAAGCCACACTATTTAAATGCGTTCAGAGGGTTGTTTTTTTTTTTTTCTTACTTTCTCTTGAATCTTTAATGAAAGGCTAAAATACGTTAATGGTGGTTGTTGCTATAGCAAGCTCAGGCATCTGTAGTGAAGTCCCTGGTTTAATTGCTTGTTGTTCTGCAGTGATGAGGTCATGTTAACATCAGTGACCCTTGGGCACATTTATTCTATCAAAATTAACATAGCAATGACCTGAGGCAATCTCTGTTCTTTATTTCTCCCTCCTGCCTAGGATGAGGACTAGCCATTACTAGCTTTATCCTGGCCTGCTTTGGTGCTGATTATGTAAAGATTTTTTTGGGGCACTGGTGAAACACTACAAATAATACTGATTTTCTCAAAGTACACCTGACTGTTGAAGTTTACTGTATTTCATTAAAACTATCTTTTCCCCTAATGACTTTATTTAAAAGTAATTTGGATCAACAGTTTTAATTTTTATAGATCATATGTATCAAATAATTAAGAGTGGATATTCATAAATAGCATAGATGTCTGGAGGAAGCGAGGGACCGTGGGTGGGAAATGGTTTACTGGTGAATTCTTGAGGTATAACTAACATGATCAGATGTTAGGCATTTAGCACAGGTGCAAGACACAACACATTTTTGTTCATTGTTTGCCTGTAAGTAAGCCTAAAAGAGCTAATTTGGTTATTTTTTAATAGTCCCTTTGGCCAGCTGTGGAGCATACATGCTCAAAACCCGATTTTTTTAAGTTCCATCAATCATTTTGCCTGGCTAGATAATTTATATGGGTTTTGCCCACATTAAAGGTTAATTTCATATGCCCACATCAAGTACATATTTTTACAAAATGCTCACAAGTGCAACGTGGTAGCTTGATAGAAATTTAAAGTGCTAGATAAAAGCCAAAATGGAGGATTTCTGATGGTCAGGGGAAGACTAGCAGGCTGGAGGAGCTATGTGCTCCTTGGCTAATGATTTCAGAGGGTGGATACTTCTGTCATGCATCAAGGGTGATAATTTATGCGACTGCTTCACAAGCCAAACCAGATAGTGATCTGCCTCAAGGCAGCAAAGGTACTTTCTTTCATTTTTTTGATAGAGCCCTTAAAGAAGAAAACCAATATAGTGAAACCTTGCCTCTATTGATAGGGAGTTTAAAGGGCAGGTGGATAAAGACTTAAAGGAGCTGATGCCACAACAGTAAGTAGTATAATTAGATGCTGATCCCTTAGGCTGGCATAGCTTCTTGAAACTGTGCTTTTCCTTGAATGCCTATAGTCAAAACGACTATTTTAATCAAAATAGGGTTTCATTCTATCTTTCTTGACTTCTTTATGCAATAGAGCAAGTCCCCATCCCAGTGACATGTGGACTGAGAAAGCAATACATTATGTGAAATTCCCTGCTTTGTTTCATTTTTCAGTCTTTCCTGTAAGTTGGAGTTTCTGTGGCTGTGAGTAGGGGAAGAGATGGCCACAGAGATATCACACACTACCCTGGATGTAATGTTTCTGAGGGGTTTGAGCATTTCAGAAAAAAATAACAGCTTGTTTCAGATTCAGTACATTACTTAAATAGAAAAGAAACTTTGCATGCCATTTTAAAATAAATACAAGGTACATTTTGAAATAAACCACCACTTTATAATAAAGCAATTTTGAAAATCTCTGAAACACAACATTAAGTTTTGCTGGGTTTTCAACAATTCAGCTGAATCAAGTGAAGTTCATAGAAGGTTCAGCTACAACTGAAAAGAGGTGGGACTACACAGTTTCACTCAAATCTCAGAAAAAAGTCTAATCTGTTTAGCTGGAAATGATTCTTGGAGCTTTTTAGAAGCAAAGACCCTGTTCACTGGCACTTTAATTCTCTGCAGACTGCCAGAGCAGTTAAAGCCTCGAGGCTTTAGTGAAAACACAGATAAATCCTGAAAGCTTTTTGAGAACCCTTAGTCATGCACAACAAGGCATCCACTTCTCAAGAGAGGGAAAGGATTGCATTTATAGTACTATAATTTGTTACAGCAAACTGGCACAAATCAGAAAAATTACACAGGCTTTCAGATATAAAGCCTTTCTCTGGGTTTGTGTGTGTTTTTTAAGGACTACATTTGGTCTAATTAAGTTTTTGTCCCTATCTGCAAACCTGATCTTGCCTGTGCACCTCTGTCACCAGAATGATGATAGGTACTGATTTGACAAAGGTGACATCGCTGGAAGTGACAGGGGGTCACAGGCAGCAGCTCAGAGTTGCCCTTTCTGCATTATTTACAGGATATTCTGGGTAACAGTGTCAGCTCCCAGGGAAAATCCTCCCTTGCTTTGGGGAGTCAAGGTTACTGGCCATCCTGAAAAATCATTCTGCCCACACTTGTTGGTATCCACAAGTGATCACAGGTCACACTCACCTTCTGCCTTCAGAGACTGCATGCTTATTTCTAATGGTGGAGTCTTGAAATACTTTACTTATGTTTTCAATTATGTTTTCATCAACATAATTGTAGCTGTGCTGTTCTTCCTCATCCTCTTCTGCCTCACAATTGCCAAGTGCCTGTTTTGTTAGACCTGAACAGTTAGCAAAAAATAACTGTAAAGAAATGGAAGACTCTGCCCTTGCCCTATAAAAAAAAATGTACAATTCATGCAGATAACCACAAAAGCAAAAGGCAAAGAAAGCAACGTTCTCCTCACTTCTCTTATTTTCATATCTTAAAAGACTTACCTAATTCCTGAAGAATACCTGGCAGATCAAGAATGAAACCCAGCTGAGCATTTTATGAGAGACTCTTACCTGAAGAATTCCTGTTTTAGTTTTTGCACAATACTTGTACTTCAGTGTCTTTGGACAAACAGGATAATCTGTTCTCTACTCTCCACAAGCTGTGCACAAGTAACTATAAGGTTTATTAAAATAGTTTAAAAGTGTAATCACTGATAGTGTAAAAGCCGGCAGATAAAATTGTCTGACTGTATCAAGAGAAAAGTAGTCCACTTGCCATGTGCAGCATGTACCATCCCTATTGCAGATTTGCTCCCTTGCTGTCACGTTTCATTACCTGAAGAGATGAGCCTCTGCAGCTAGGAAACTGTTGTGATACTTTGGGATTTCCTAGAACAAACCTCCCATTTCTTCTTAATGTGAAGGTGACGTAACAAAGATACAGGCTTGAAAGTGGCTTGAGGTTAAAATTAAAAGTTCTGAAGCATATTTATTTACATCCACCTAGACCAACCTCAGGCAATACTGAGGACAAACCCTCCCAAAAGCAGTTGCCTTTTCCCACAAAGGCAGAGACCCTCACAGGAGACCACTCTGCAGCTCCAGCACTGGGTTGAGTTCTGCACTGAATCTTGGCACATAGACAGCTCATACTGGTGAGGTATAGCTTGCTGCCAAAAGGTCCCAGAGTCTTCTTTTCTGCCTGGGTGATCCTACTGTTTCTTTGAGGCTAGGGGTAGCTCCAAAAACCACATGGGACCACTGGTCATATGGAGCAGGACATCACAAGTATTGGCCAGTGAATGCCCCACATTCCGCCTCCAGAGCCACCATATCCCTTGGTTCATGCTATGGTGGGGAAGAACCAGGTAGCAATAGGATAGAAATTCCCTTACCAGGAGCAGCTCCCCCTTGGGCTTTATCAGGAAGCTTCACATTATATGGAACTGAGAGAATGCTGTATTTCTAAAGCAAAAGGTTTCACCTGAAATGGCAGTGTGAAAGACTGCCTTTGATAAAGCTGTTCCTGGTTGTTTAATTTGCTACAACATGCACATATACACAGGGCCTCACAGCCTGTCCTGAACCCAGGACAACCTCCCAGCAAGGCTGTGCTTGTCAAACAGGTCCTTCTTTATGGGACTGAGCTTCTCAAACAAGAATCCTCCCAAGCTTACTCTTATGACCACTGTGTGCCCCTTTGTCAAGAAAATAGCTGCATATACTCCCAGTGGTGTCCAACTCCCACTTGTGTTCCACCTGAGACTCTCCAAAGCTGAGGTGTCTCTCACTGAAAAGCTGTGTAGGAATCATTTCTTTCTGAAATTGCGATCCTTTCCTTTATAGATTTTTTTTAAGGCCAGAAATAACCCTTAAGTTAATCAAGTAGCTGACTCGCCACACCAGCACAGAGTTTCTCATAGACTAATTTACCTACAAGTACCCCTGCTACTTTTTAGGAATGAGTAACTTCGAAAAGTATTTACAGATCTACCCATCAAATGCAAAAAGAACCAAAACCAAACCCAAACAACAACAACAAAACCCCCAACCAAAATCCCAAACATATAATGAGAAATTTAATTAAGATCTCATTCACATATGTGGCCACTATCTTGTTAATAGACATTTTCAGGTTTGTAGTTCATTTGCAAGTTGGCTGTGTTTCATTTAAGTAAAAGTAAACTAATGAAAGTAATGAAAGTAAACTGAAAGAATAAACTAACCTCTTTGATTCAGCAAGGGAAATACTGTTTATGTGCTTAGACTTACTAATATGGATACAAAGCACAGACTGCTCATGGATGGCATAGCCAGACTTCATTCTTTTCCAAACACATGGAAACAAAATGATATGCTTCTAAGCAAGACAGCTCAAGGAGAAGGGAAATTAATGTCATCAGGCTGTACTAAATCAAAGCTGTCCTTAGTCCCAAACCTGTGTAGGATGCCTTCTGAAATGTATATATTTACACTTCAATAAAGCATTAAGCAATGAATGGGACAAGCTGAACGATCCCAAGAGGATTCTGAACAGTGAAATCAATGCAATTTCCTTCCCTGATTGAAAAAATTTCTATTGCTCTCAACACCGAGCTACTGAATCAGATATGCCATCTCAGCCTGCTAAGAAAACAAGGCTTATGTCATTGTGCTGTCTATCCATCCATCAATCTCTTCAGTAGTTTTAAAAGTTTTTTTTGCCAATTTCAGTCAGATTTGAAAAAGGGGCAGAAGTCTCAATGTGGTTACAAAAGCGAGAGTTGAATTAGTTCCTCTATTGAAAGAAAAGCATGCAGAACACAGCTGTTACACACTCCATTTGGCAGCAGCCAGCAGGATAAATCAGTATGTGCACATTTGTTGGCCACTCAACACACACATAGCTCCAGCCCTGCTCTTTTTCATTTGATAGGAGTGCCATAAGGAGAGTTTTGGTTATTATCAGGAGAAGAGCAACAGGGGGCAACAGACCTGAATACTTATTAAACCAAATTTAATAAATCCTGCTCTTCCTGGAAGAATTTGTATAATTATGTTTGCTGTTATAGTGGAAGGGTAGTGCTCTGCAGACTAAACACTTCCATTTATCTCACTTGTATCCTTGAATGAGTAGGATTTATTCCCCCCCCTGCCCCGTTTTTTTCACAGATTTCAAGGTCACAATTGTCATAATTCTCAATTCTGCCCTCCTTCAAAATGTAGGCAACAGAAGTAACTCAACCCATCAGGACTCCTGCTTGAATGAAACCAGTGCTAGAAACCCCAACTCATGTACATACAAGGCTGCATACCTAAACAACTCTGACTGTGACCATAACACAGTTTTATAGCTGTGGCAAATATCTCAGTTCAGGTTTTATGCTGCATGAACTAACACTCAACCACATAATAACATTTAGTGTTTATTTATCCCTAATTTGAAAACAATAGTTGTGAATTATTATGTGCAATAGCAACGTGAATTAAACTTGGTAGAACCACATCCTTATTTCCGCACATTACTGAAGTGAAAATGTACAGAACTAAAGGCATATGCAGAAGCCAAAGTGTTTTTATGAACAGTAACATTTTATTTGCTGTGGGTCTGGTTCTAATGCTCCTCAGTACTAATGAGAGCTAATTCCTTATGAATTGCTACTGAAAACTATTCAGTGAGAGCAGAATCAGTCTCTATAAAACTAATGGACTGTTCCTTCAGCTGGCATTCATCAACTATTACTTCAGGTGATGATGTAACACATCTTTAAAAACTGCAAAGTGCTACCATCAAAGTATTTCATATGCACTATAGGGTTACAATTCATGTGTGGGTAATATTTATCTCTCATGCGAATCTACCAACCCATTGTTTGGAAGAGTTTAATCTTAAACTTAATTTCTTAAAAAATCTTAAATTTCCTGGAAGAGACGTCTGTTGACCGCTTCCACTGTCCTTTTATATTTTAATTTTCTTGTCACTTTTTGCCTTGCTGGTTTTATTGAATTCTTAGAGACACTAATTTCCACTGTTGCACTACTGCCTCTTTTTGTAAAATAAATCCCCAGTGTATCAACAGATCTTGCAGATAAGAAACAGCTCCCACAAGTTTTAAACAATTGCGTATTTCAAGCCCAACAATACCTTCCTGCAAGAAGGTATGTCAAGGGCTGAGGGCACTGGCATGCACCCCTTTAGATCCCAGGTGCTGCTCTGCACAGAGCTCGTGGAGCAGAGCCAGGCAGCACTGCTGGACACTGGGCAAGATGGCTCACATGAAGGCCTTTTCAGTTACCCTACAGGTAACTGCTTTACCATCTCCTTTGCAACCACTTCTCCAAGCTTCTGCCTGGAACCTCAGCCTATTACTGCAATTACAATTAGTCATATCTAAGAAACAAATGAAATATGTAAAGATTCAGACCCTATGCTTTCTTTGCCCTGCTGTAGAACAAGTTACAGTTTGGTTAAGAGCAAAGTTGATTGAAAATGTTTAAATATAATTTAGTAAAGTGTACTCTCTATCCTATGAAATTATGTGATCTCTGTCACATCATTTTCTTCCCTTTTTTAAACTTATCCCAGAACATGCATCAGCCAAGAGTAAGTTTTGTGTTCACAGCCCAGAAAACCAGAAAAAGAGTCCAACTGCATTTTTTTAAAGATAGTTACAGGACCATAGAAGCCAAAGTATCTAATAACAGTTTTGCCCTCACCAAAGACTGAGATGCAGTTGGAAGCTGGATAGAGTTGTCATACATGCATACAGTAAAGGATTCCTAATTCATATTTCTTATCACTATGTGCCTAATTCCTAATTCTGAATGTTAATAAAAAATCCCTGTGATGTCATGAAAGAACAGCTTTTTTTTTCCTTTTTTCTTTTTTTAATAATTCCTAATTCTATGATTTTGGGGCTATTTTGTTTAATTAATTTTAATATTTGTTTTAGACCACAGATCCATAACCAAACGTGTGGCCTTAACTGATGGGACAGCAAGCTACAGCACAGGGGCAGAAATTTCTTAAACCATCTGCACTGCCAAATTAGTAGACATTATATGTGTATCCTAAATGGCAATCAGAAGGCTCATTCTTTTTTCATTTTCTTCAATCCACTGGCCTCCTAAATTAAGTGCTTGAAGTCAGAATGTATAAATATACTCCCCAAAACGTCTTGACATTAATAAACAAAGTCAACATAAACACTTTTTTATTGCAGACTGTAACAATTCCAGAAAACTGAACCACGAGCAAGAAGATTAGGTAAGATTAGCTTTAGAAACTCCACTTAGAATAAATTTCAAGGTCATAGAAAAACTGATAGAGCAGTTTTCTAAAGAGAGTTATTGTCCTGCAGATATTGCTATTATTTCTAATGAATTCAAACTCAGTCAAATATAAGAAAATAAGATAATGTCTTTAGTGGTCAATTCAGGTTTAATTGCAACAGAGGAAAAAGGTTCAATTTCTTAGCAACAAAGATAATAAATCCTATATTTATTAAAATGAACTCTGTAAGGAAAGACAATAGAGGCTTTAAAGCTGAAAGAAAAACATGTTGCTTTGCTTTTTGGAACTGTGTGGCCTTTGATAAGAAATAGCAATTGCCTCTTGTTGTTGGGGTTTTTTTTTGAGAGCACAGATTCAACATCCTTATTAGGAATCTGAAAGAGGTTGGTGCTTTGAAGTGTGGCTTAACATTCATCAGTAGAAGTTTAAAGATTAGTCAGTGAATAGTGTATTTCCTCCTACTCAAAACCCACAGGAGTGTGTCTGTGTTATTAGTTTTGACATATTTTCTAATCCATTATCTTGTGAATTAGCAGAGCAGAGTATACTCTTTGGAATGGGCAAGCTTGTTGCATGCAACAGTGGACTCATGGGAATCCTTTGGCTGGCCTGGAAGAACTGCTATGCCATCTAATCCAATCTCCTGCATAATTCTGCAGTTATCTTTGAATTAAGTCAAATAATTTTGGGCTATACTAACACACATCTCACAGAAAAAGATTTCATTTTGTCAGCATACAATCCATCACTATTCTTTCATCTAGGTTAAATCTGCCTAGCTCAAACCCACACTGCACTCAAATTTAAGACAAAGTTTGTACAGGGATATACTCCAAGACAATTTAACAAGAAGCAATTTCCTACCCTTGCAAAAGAAGAAACGTTATGATGTGCTGCTTCTTGATTTTGTATGTATGTACTAAACAAAGGTACTGAGTGTTTCTTTGAAACCTTCCGTGACAAAGGCTATTTTTTATCTGTGAATAAGCCAGTCCTCAGCATAAACATTAACCCTGTCCTACTTCAGTACAGATGCTTTGGTCATGTTTTCTTCTGGTGCACCCCCCTACTGCTTCCCTCACCCTGCAGAGATTAATCAATGCAAGTGATTCAACTGATCCCTGTAGCATGGACAGTGCTTGTCAAAGCCGAGTCCCAGTGATTTGCAGGTAGTTCCTTTGACACAGAAGAGTACAACATTAACCCATCTTGGTATTCATTTTTTTCCCTCAAGTTTAAAGAGAAGATAATGTCTTCTGTAGCTGCCAATATGGAAGCTACCATTTACCCCTACAAATCTAATCAAATCATTAAGCAGTGACAAAACAGCCTGCAGGTAGATTTTTCAAAGCCACTAAGTATCGAATTTGGGATTATCTTTCAAAGCAGCAAGATACCAAAATAACTTTCAAAAACCAGCCCACAAACAATTAACTTCTACAGCAGTAAGGATTAGTGAATATTCAACATGCTACACTAATTCATTATAAATGCTGTTTATGTTGCATTTGGCATTGTCAATATGAGTAGTTTCAAATAGACAGTCCTTTTTAGGAGTCTTACACACTAAATGACAAGACAATAAGGAGAAACTTTATGGGAAATTCAGTTATGATATCAGTTATCAGTTAAAAAGTGCTGTGAGAATGAGCATTTGTGCTTTAGTCTTCCAAATATTTCAGTATTGTAATTAATGTGATGTGTTCATATTTCAGATATAACCTGTGAGTGACAGATTAATTAAATTTATTTTCTATATGTACTGCAAAGTCTTTTGAATTTGTCCTCTTATCATTTAGTTTCTCAACTTTAGCACATTTCCTTCTGAAAAACATGAAAGATAACTAGGGGAACTAACCTTCTATCAAAAATGCTTGGGAAATTCAAGCAAACAGTGACTTTAAAACCAATTATCAGTCAAGTAATTTGCTCTTTTTTTTTTTCCTTCAAAATACAAAAATGTGAAGACATCTTGACACCTTTAATGTAAATTGTTTGCTTGTCTTTCAAACCTGTTGGAATAAGAGTTTTTAATAACAGATTATGTGTAAGCGTTATCCTAAAGCAAAAAGAAAGTGCATCTTTTCCACACGTCTGTTCCTAAAAATTACTGAATATTCACGCTGCAGAGTCAAACAGAGTTTAAGACCATGCTGCTGTTGAGAGTTTGGATGAATTTGCCTTATGGCATTTATGGAGGAAGAACAGAAATGTTCACTTTTCATCTCTTTTGAATAAGACACATATTCCAAGTGAAATCACACAAGATAACTCTGCATGTAAATTACTTTTCAGGGCTGGGTAGAAGCTTTGTTATATCAATAACTCAAATAATAAAGCTTAACTGACCTTTAATCACACTGGTTTCCACTGATGTAGCATTTCCAGTAATGTCCTTCTTATTGTCATGATGCACCAAATCATTTTGACAACTAACTTGTAATCCTGAAACATCAGCAGCTTGATTCAAGCACAATTTCTTGGTGGTGTCAACACAGAAATTCTGAAATTAGATAGAAGAGCACATTGACTTTACATGTAAATTGTTACTCCAAACTGAATGTTTTCAGAGATGTGACACACAGAAGGAACATTCTTTGGGTTACTTCTATGAATTTTAACCGCATATCTTCTGTTTGTCAAAGTCATATATCACATTTAACATAATGCTTGTCTTTGAGGCATGTACATCACAAAACAACATGACCAGAAGGCAGCATCCTAGGTGAATGAATTACCTTTAAAACTTATCTCTAGTCTTTCTTTTCTTTTTGGGGGGTATATGGAGCTATGCAAACACAAGCAGGGAGATTTATGCATCCCTTTTAGTTGATGCAGATTTCTTTCTGATTAACTATTTTTACTGTATCGATTATTAATTTAATGAGTTCTGTTACACATTACACCACAAATCCATATAAAGTCTGACATTCCAATTACATTTATCCAGTAGCATTCATAGTATAGCGAGTATAGTTATATGATGGGAACAGACAATTATGAGGTGATTAATTATAATGTTAATACATTGCAGGAAGTGAGTTATATGGCTGTAATAGTTGCACCTCTTGAAATTCAGGCTTGATACATACATTTCCATAATTCTGTGTTTGGCTTGTTGGTTGCTGGTTTGGGTAATAGTTGCACCTCTTGAAATTCAGGCTTGATACATACGTTTCCATAATTCTGTGTTTGGCTTGTTGGTTGCTGGTTTGGGTTTTTTAATTCTGAGGTACTTACATCATAAATATTTTCAATCAAATACATATTTTTCATTTGTGTAAATAAGGGTCAATTAAGTGTCAAAAATATATCTTTAGAGAAGCTGTACAGTAGCTGGAATGTAGGTACAGTCCAATTGTAATCATTATATCAGAGAGTATGCATTTTAAGAAATAATCAGGATAGATTTTCCATGCAAAATAAAATGCGTATTTTCCTCAGCAATGACAAAGCCCATCTTATTCAGAGGGAGAAGTTCGTGTTGATAAAATTGACAGTAGCTACACAGTAATAGCATCTGCTCTTTTCAGAATCAACCCACAGTTTGCAAAAAAAACCCATGAGCCCCCATTTTATGACAAACTGCCCTTTAAAAAAAAAAAAAGAAGATACCATCTAGCAACAAGAAAATCACTTGTAATTGAAATAAAAAATTTGTGAGAGTATATTAAGAATAACAGAAAAGGGTGAAATCTGTAAAATCTGTAGACAATTTTCCTCAGTGGGTGGGTCACAATGTAACATAAGTGAGAGACCCTCATTTTTCAATTAGAGGAATCTATGGTAGTTTCTCCATTTTCTGAAACAAACACTGCAAGCTCGACCTGCAGGAGTCGACTGAATTACAGTATTCAATGCATGTTTGCACAACACAGGCTATACAATGCTGGCTAGTGCTCTCATTGATTACAAAAGGTCAAGCAAAGGTTTAAGCAATGACGTAATTCACAAAATCCTCAGCAATTTTTTGCAAAAAGAAATAAGGAAGAAAAATATCAGAAGTTCTTCACAGCTGAGAATTAAAATAACCCAAAGAAAAAGGCACTGTTCAAACTAGGATAATGCTCAGCTGGTGCGTTGTGGAATGGCTTCATTGAGGTTACAAGACCCTTGACTTTCTTTCACCAGCACAGCATGGCATTCATTTCATCTCCAGCTCTTTTCTCAATCATCTGCACACAAACATGCCTGTATGCACTACGTGTTTGTTGCTAATCTGGCCTGAGAATATGAACACATGCTTTGCAGGTAGTTATCAAGAAACATCCACCTTTTGCTCAGGGAAAATACATGCTTAAATAATCATTTTTCAAAGCTGTCACTTGCCCTATTCTCACTATCAGTCACTCCTGTTTATGACAAATTAAAGGTCTTGGAAGGCCTGGAAACATTTTTCAGATTCTTTCTGTGTTCAAGTTGTTGGGCATACTTATCACATAGAAAGCTTTCACATAAAAGTTAACTTTCAGGTAACAAGGGGATATTAATTTAAATAGTAGACATAAAAAAATCTGATTTTTTTTTTAATCATTAATTCTCTTATTTTCCAGTCAGCTCCTTATTTCATAGAATCAGAGAATCATAGAATGGTTTGAGTTTGAAGGGACCTTAAAGCTCCTCCAGTTCCAACCCTCCTGCCATGGGCAGGGACACCTTCCACTAGACCAGGTTGCTCAAAGCCCCATCCAACCTGTCCTTGGGCACTGCGAGGGATGGGGCAGCCACAGCTTCTCTAGGCAACCTGTTCCAGGACCTCACTACCCTCACAGTGAGGAATTTTTTCCAAATCCTAGTAAGCAATATTATAAATTAGTATGTTGAGATTATTTATTTTGCATTGCCTTAACTAACTAAAAACAAGCCTTGGTATCAAAACAGAAAGATTATCCTCATTGAGAAGAATGTAGCTGAAATTTGTGCTAATCTACTTCATCAGTTATCAGCAAAACCACACATTATAATACATTGGTTATCTGGGGCACATTGAGAACAAATTAAAAGATGCAGAATTCAAACATTTAAACCTAAACAGATTACAGAAGCTGAATTGTCACTTCACTATATGCTGAAATCTGATATCACTTGAACATTCTTAATTGCATTATAGATAACAATTATGCTAGAGACCAACAGAGATAAGATTCTTTTTTAACCAAGAGTGAACTCTTACAACAGTCTTTCAGACACCAGGAAGGTTTAACAAACAGTATATAGGGTTTCTGCCTACATGGAGTCATTGTTCCACTAATTTAAAAGTCAGGATGTCAGCCACGGTCTTCAGTACTGTTACTGCCAGAAGAAACACTAATTAAGTTAACAACTCATGATCTCAACTATAGTCATTTGTTATAACGGATCCCCCACTAGGAAACCCCAAATCTCAGCATTTGGAAATTCCAACCAACAGCAACATGTGCATGAACTAAAAATTTTACCCCAATGGCTAAGCATTGGCCATTACATCCCTACGTTCACTTATCATCTAGAAACAACTCAGAAGACAAAGCAGAAAGCCATAAAGGTCAGATAGCCTAAATTTGCCCAGTTCCTCTCAGGAAATAGCAGGTCTTATACTGAACAGGATACAAAAAAGTGTGAAACCTAAGGTGAGAACTAAAGGGCTGGAAATGCATCACATTAATAAGAACAGGAGTTTCAGCATTCTGTTGTGTATGTATGTGAGTGCAGAGTGTATTGAAGATGCACGCAACTGAAAATGCTGTAGTAGCAAACTGAGTTTCAGAGTGAACAGTTTGAATTAATTTCCCTTGATTACCTGAAGAGCTTATGTGCGAGAGAGAGTTCTCTTCTCACACATTCATGTGTGAGGAGAGAGTTCTCTTCTGCAAACAAGTTTTCCCTCCACTTGTCTGCTTCAGAAGCAGTTAAAACCAGACAGGAGTTCCTGTTCTTGCCAGTGTCACTGCAGAAATAGTAACACTTTGTCTATCTACAGCTCCAGTTACACAAAATCTGTTCAAAAAAATGGCAATTGCCCTTGCAATTTAAGCATATGTTAGTATCCTCTGTCCACAGTTCCAAGGTGTGTTCTCCTCTGACTGCAAAATTTTGGGGCTATTAGCAGTTGTCTCTCTGTGAATATTTCTTTCATTACTGGGTCTAAATGCTTTTTGAAGTCATTTACATAGAATCATAGAATAGTTAGGTTTGGAAAGGACTAAGATCATCTAGTTCCAACTCCCCTCCCACTAAACCATGCCACCCAAGGCTCTGTCCAACTTGGTGTTGAACACCGCCAGGGATGGAGCATTCACAACTTCTTTGTAATCAACATCATGTGGCAACAAGTTCCAGAGTCCAGTTCTGCCTTGTGTAAGATTTCCTTTGAGTTTTTGTTTGTTGATTGTTTTTTTAATGCTCTACCTTGTGATTTCATGCTGCTGTTGTAATCCTTCTCTATTAATTTTCACTCTGCATTCAGGTTTTTACTCTTATTCCTCAGCACCTCTTCTTCAGGCTGAAGTGTTTCTGGTCTATTTTAACTTTCCTGTTACAGGAGCCAAACTGTAATTTATGACGCATAAGCTCCAGAAATTCCTGCTTCTTTACAAGATACAACCAAAACTATTGAAGGCAGTCCATATACCACACATACTTCAGACAGTAGGATTTCATCACAACTATTCAACAAGCCAAGAATATAGCAAAAGAATTCTTATAATAAAAACCCCAAACCAAACCAGAACAAAACCTTTGGAAATGCCCAGTAAAAGTAGTGTAACCTATTCTGAGATAGAATAGCAGAAAGAGAAGCTTTTAAAGGAAGCAAGAAAGAATTAAAAAAAGAGCTGTTATGTCTGTTTACAAAAAAAAACAATGTAATACATGTGTTCATAATATACATTAGCATTTTGATTGCTTTTCTTCTTTTCTTTTTTTCTTTTCTTAGGGAAAGAAGGCCTCAACAGCATCTAGAACATTCGGAGTAAAGAAGGAGAAGCAACATTTGTTTAAAATATAGAAAAATGTGGGAGTAAATATGAAACCAACAGCTGTCATAGTCTCTCAAAATGCTGTGAGAGATGTAGTAGCATAAACCAATCTGACAAAACTATGCTTTTCCAGACAGAAAGTCAAGCTGTTATATGATTACCAATTACTCTAGTGAAGAGGAGCACTCATTTGTAAGAGCAATCAGTGCTGGACATGGCACTATGCCTTCGGAGTACATTTATTATGAGTCACCCGTGCTAGCAGATACAGATCATAAAACTTTTACTGCAATCTTTGAAGACAGCTTGGAGTGGCACTCTTTGCTGCTTTCAGAAACCTAAGCCAAAGCTCTAGATATATATCTCTGCTTTGGCATATACTGTACAGGTATATTTCTCTGTAAAATGCTTAATTGCCGCATGCACCCTTCCACCAGAAAAAAAGCTCTATATGTAGAATGAAAGTGCAATGAATGATTTTGCAGTCCAAACACATTTCACAGTTTACAGACAAAAAAGACAAATTATCCCCACAAGCTACAAATGA